AGGTAAAGAAGTGTGTTCTGGGTGGGAAGTGAGGTGAGGTTGGTCGGATGTTGATGTTATCCGTATGAATGTCTCTCCCTTGCTGATTGATATCTGGCAGCTTCTTCCCCTATGGATGCCAAGACGGTTCTGTGGTTTGGCAAGACAGTCTTTGTGGTCTGCCGTAATTAACTAGTTAGACTGTGGCTAGCTTAGTTACATAAGCAGATCAGACAGAGGAAGCACGGGCCAGATACCCAATATATTCCAGGTTTCTAGGGTTTGACTAGGGACAACTCATCACCCACTCATTCACTCAAGCACTTCACGTCTTTGGCTTGCTGCTGCCCGCTTCACTTCTGCATTCAACCTGCCAGCTACCAGGAGGGGGTGAGAAATAGATGATAATGATAGTGGGTGGGATGAGCTGGGTGGGTTTAGTTATATGACTCCTTGCTTCTGTTGGGATGGGATGGTCCTCTCAATCCAAGCAAGTTGACAGCAGTCATGTGCTCTTTAAACAAGCTATCCATCCAATCCATTTCATCAATTACTGGGAAATATGTTGTTGTCTCATTTCTTTTCATTTTGCTTTCTTTCTCTTTGCTTATGGTTGGCACCTTCAGTGTGAAATTTGTATTACAAGGGCAAACTGTGATATGATCATGATATTGCGAGAGACTTCTCTCTCTCTAGTCCAATCTTCTTTCTATGTCTCTCTCTGGTTACTTTATATACTTTTTGTTTTAATTGAGATTCTACTAAAACTAGCAAATAATCTGAATTAATTCCTCGAAATACTCTCACACTGTCGTTGTTTGTTTGGTCCCGTTGCCGTGTGACTTCGCTCCTACTCACCCCATTCACCTAACTGACAGTCTGCGCCTCTCTTCTCCCCACATACATATCTTCATATATCAGATGCCTAATTTCATCTTACCCTCCCCTCCTTCATTCCCATCTGTGGCCTTCAAAAAGCCTGAGCAACACCTAGAAATCCTTCCGTGGACGGACAAGATAAGATACCTCAAAGATGCCTACCTACAACGATGGCAGAGGTGGAATCAAGCTATCCTTCGCTGATGTCTTCAAAAGCTCCAAAACAATCCGTGAGGAGATAGCTGTTGCTTCCTACAAGGTGAGAAGATACTATCATCTAGAGAGCCACAGAGCCACTCCACATGTTCTTTTGTCGCATGATGTTTACATATATCACATGCCAACTATCTAACATATCAGCCTCCTACCTACATAGAGAGCCGTAATAGCAGCCAGAGCCAAGAAAGCAGCAGCAGACCTAGCCTCCCGCAACGCAACCATAACAGCATATCCCCCCTCACTGCCACCTGGCTTCCCACCACTGGTCTACATGCCCGTTCGACCCAACCCAGCAATTACCACTGACGGAAGTCAGCAAACCCTGCAATGCCCTCCACAATATGTAATCCAGCACCAGCCGCATCCCCATCCCCATCCCCATCACCAGCCCCAGCCACCGAACGTGGGGAAACCCCAATCAAACCAGGCTGGCGGTAATGGCTCTTCACCCACTTGTACCGTTACTGTTCCCGCCCCTGCTCCAGCACCTGCTCTCCCGCAGCAAGACTGGACAACGGACGATGACGACATGCTGAGACAACTAAAGGCGCAAGACAAGACGTGGAAGAGCATATCGGTGTCTATGGGTAGACCGGTCTCTGCGCTGAAGAATCGGTGGGGGATCATTCGGCCGGCTGTGGAGTATATGATTCAAAGACCGCATACGACGGGCCAGGGGCAGGGACAGGGCCAGGATGAGATAGGTGTCTCACGTGGGCCACACCCTGGAATAACGCATCGGAGACATGAGAGGCGTGTTTCGTTTTCCGAGCCGCTTGTTGTTAATGGGAAGGTATGTTAAAATTCTATACGTACACTCAACCAACAGCCCTCCCTCCAAAGTTCCGTAATATATCGATTTTGGCGCGTGACCGTCATTGAAAAAAACGTGAACAAACCTTGCAGAACGAAAACTACACTTTCACACGAACCCCCAAGAAGAAAATCCTCTACATCGATGAGAATTTTAGCTTCGAGGAGATCCTGCTCCTGAACAAGCTTGCTGTGCAGTGTGATGAGGAGAAGTGGCTGCGGATTAGTTCGCGGTTCTTCGACAAGACAGGTAAGCGACTTACGCCGCAGGAGGCAAAGGAGTATGTTCAAAATGGGTAGATTTATAATACTGTCTTTTCTTTTCGCTTTATTTCTTTTTCCTTTTTTTGGTTGATGGTCAAGGTTGGTAGCGGGGATACGGCACAGCAAAGGAAGTTTTTTTGTTTTTTTTTAAAAGGAACGAACAGTGGAATGCCGGGGGTGTAAGGTGGGTAGGTATGGTGTTGGACGAGGTGTGATACCAGGACCCGGGAGCGCGAGCAATTAGTTATGAGGAATTTCCGTTGACTTCCCATCCTTCTTGGTCCCTCTCTATCGTTTTTCTTCTCTTTCCTGCTCTTTTACGGCGCATCGAGCGTTGATATTTCTACGAGATATACCCCTAGTTCCATTTGCATTCTGGTCCTCTTTCTTTCTTTCTTTTCTCTTTTATTCGTAAAAAGAATGGATGATCAGTTTTGGGTGCGCGGTGTTTAATGCAAACTGATCATTATTTTTTTCTTTCTCTCCTAGATTAAGGTAGTTTGATATATCTTATCACATCAATTAACACTTGGCTTTCACCAAAGCATTCATTCAATATTCACTACGTACTACCATTTCGATCCCTTGGCTATGGGAAGCAGGGTTGGACCCATGAATGAGTAGATTCCAGTCAGGAGGGTATAAATGATGTAAATCACAAAAGCTGCGGTCAACAAATGGTCAAATTCCGTATCAGCCTCACATCCATACAACTGATTCAAATACGCATATCCTTCATAGCTCATTCTTCTGTCCCAAAATTTTATTATGCATCGTGCTGTATATATATGTGATGTTGCTCTCACCATCCAACCTACGGAGTGTATCTGTATTAACGTAATCTGCCAGTCCAAAAACGCGATTTTTACCCAACTACTCCCAAGCTTCAATCATCAATGCCATGTCAGATAACACTAATATTAAGCTCACAGTAGCTGAGTATCTCTCTCAAGAAGATGCAAATTACACTATTATTGTGATAAATATGAAATTCATCAGACTTCCCTTGTGCAACATGTTGCTGGCAAGTCAGTCTTGAAGAAGATTATAATCTCTAGCTATAAAAAAAAAAAAAAAAAAAAAAAAAACCTCACAAGCACTCAAGAGAAGCAACTTCTTACTTATCAAAATCAGCTGTCAGATTGTGGATTTTCTTTCACATCAAAGATTTTTAAGAATTTAATTTAAAAGATTATGAAAAAGTTACTTGATAGACAGTTATTAAATTTAATAGTTTTATTAAGTATTAAAAATTTAAGGTTTATCTGCAACCAATTTATTAACAAGTAAAAATAGCTGATAACACTGCATATTTTAAACATTTTATTACCTTATATTTTAACCTTTTTTTTGAACTTTTATAGCTTTTAAAAAGATATTAATAATTAATTAAAATCTCATCTATGAATAAATTAAGAAATACAATATAAATGTCATTCAATCTATGAAATTTCAAGAAAGAATTAATAAGGCCTATATAAAATATAAAATAAATAAAATTCATAAAATAACTCTAACATAGAAAGTTTTTGAGTATAATTTAATTATTACTACTACTATATAAGATTTATGTTACTTAGTCAAAATATTTATCAATAACAATAGCAATTATTTATGAATCTAAGAAATGTTATGAAAGATTAGATTTTGAGAAAAATCTTCTTTTTTATAAGAATAAAACTTTCATATAAAGCTCTAAATATTAAATAGAAGTATTGTAAATATGATAAATATTTAAATTTTATATATAAGAAAAATTAAAATTAAAGCAATGTATTAGCAAATCAAAGCTACTTAGACTGCTAAAACCAATCTGATAATAATTTAATTCATGTTTGATAGAGAATTTTTGAAAATTTTTTTCATTAGCAATTTCTTTACAACTTTTTAATTTTCTCATTTTCAATTTTATGATGCCCATATTTCAGTCACAGATTAAGCTTCTATCCACAATTCCTGAATTATTAATATATTTTAATACAGCCTATTTCAGTCTAATGATATATCTAATCTTTATAATGTTTTGAATAGTTATATAATAAAGTGTTGTTGAGTGGCGGATTACATTACCGCGAACTTTAAGCGTCTCCCCTGAAATTCCAAGGTACCATTTTAACGCTCCAACGGGATATCCGCTTCCAGTGGCAAATCGGCCAATCGGTGAAGCCTATCCCTCGGGGGACCCATAACTTACCACCGATAACTGGTGGCATAAACCTTGGAATGGGCCATGTCAAGGTTACCGCGTTTAAAATATAGAGCCGGGTGAAGCTGTGTATGCGCCTCCCATTCCCACTGGGCGCTCTCCAAGGGGCCAAGGAATGTTAGTATCCCACTAAATAATGTCTAATAATTGGCGGGTGAGAATCTATTTTTTTTTTTTTGTTTTTTTTTAAAACGCTGGATTCTTTTCATACGGCCCGTTGACAGGCTGGCGGACCTGTTGCGTGCGAACGTCAAACCATCTCTTCGCTGTTAACTCCTTTCAACGTCTTTCTTTCACGTCTTCTTCTCCTGATACGCTTCTCTATTTTCGTCCGTTCCTTTCTTTTAAAGGGCATTTCCAATCCTTTGGGTGTCCCTCTCTGACTTTTCATCAACTTACCAAACTTCCACACTCTCTTTAAGTTACCATTCCCTTTTACCATTGTGAGAGGAGAGAGGCCGCTCCTTATTATTTTATCCCTCCCTGCACCCTTCTTTCACCCGCCCTGCTTCCTCTCTCTTTGCCGCCCTCTCATTTCCATATACCAACGCCATTCATTTTTTGGATCCCATCCATCCATCCACCATCCTTTTCCCTCTCCCTCCTTTTTTTTCATCAACGCTAAATAATCCTCATCACAATGCGTCTCTCCACATTCCTCACTCTTATCCTTGCCTCCAGCCCGGCCTTGGTATCAGCAACTGGCACCTTAGGCTTCTGTCTCGGTGTGAAAAACGCCGATGGAACCTGCAAATCGCGCAAGGATTTCGAAGACGACTTTGATGTCCTGATGGCCCATACGAAGATCGTCCGTACCTACGCCGCGGCCGATTGCAACAATGCAGAGGCTATCTTGCCCGCTGCCAAATCTAAGGGGTTCAAGGTTGTTCTAGGTATTTGGTATGTGGTGAATGAACCAGTAGTGGCCATCCCTGTGAGACGTGGGACATTGGGGACTTGAAACTGGGTGAATGGAAGTTAATGTTGTAATTTTTTTTTTTAATTAATATATGTTGTGTATATATATAGGCCTGATGTCGAGGAATCATTCAATGCCGACACAAAGGCCATTCAAAAGGCCATCCCAGGCCACGAGGACGTCGTCGCTGCCATCACCGTTGGCTCTGAGACGCTGTACCGCGGCAACTTCACCGGCGAAGAACTCCTGAGCAAGATCAATACTGTCAAGAAGATGTTCCCTAAGGTCAAGGTTGGGACTGCAGACAGCTGGAACAAGTACGACGATGGTACCGCTGACGCCTTGATTAAGGGTGGTGTGGATTATTTGTATGTTTTTTTTTTTTTTTAATTTTTCCATTTGTCCCCTTGTTACCAACACCAATTACCAGCGGACTTAAAATATATCTTCGTTGGGGAATTACGAACTAAGCCTTGAAATTTCTGTTAAATCCAGCCTCGTCAATGCCTTCGCCTTCTGGCAGGGTAAGGCTGCCCAGGATGCCACCGAAACCCTCCTCGATGATATGGCCCGCGCCGTGAGCCATATCCAGCTCCTCGCCGGCTCCCGTGCTAAAGACATCTACATCGCTACTGGTGAAACCGGCTGGCCAAGCGGTATGTTCCCTTCAACCCTTGTAACCTCCTTTATATCGAACAAAAATATACATATATCAGAATAATTGGCTAACTTCCATTATATTTCAGATGGCGGCTCCGACTACGAAGACGCGAAAGCCGGCACCGCGAACGCGAAGATCTTCCACGACAAGGGTGTGTGCGCCCTGCTGCGCTGGAATGTGGATGTGTTCTTCTTCGAGGCCTTTGATGAGCCATGGAAGCCGAAGAGTGTTGGGGATAATGGCTATGCTGCTGATGAGACGCACTGGGGCTTGTATACGGCTGATCGCAAGCCGAAGTATGAGGTTAAGTGCTAGCTTGGGATGGGATAGGGTTTTTTCGTGTATGTTGTGGTTACATAGACAGATGCAGAGACAGACAAGATGAATACGAAACAGGCTCTTTTCTTTTCTTTTCTAATCTTCTTTTATTTTATTTTTATTTATATTTATATATATTTTTATTTTTGCCTTCTCTTTGTGTTCCGGTCTTTTCCTTGGGTTTTCGTGCCTTGAGTTTTGTTGGAACTTTCTTTCGGGTATTGTATTTGCAGATGTGGTTCCCTTTCTCCATTATCTTAGAGGGTTGTTTGAGTCTTAAATATAAACATCTCAATTTTTGCCCACATGGACCAAGCACCGGGCAGTTGTGTGGCTAGAAGATTTGGTATGGTAAGACAATACAGACACGGCAAGGCCAAGTCCAACTTTGGCGGGAAGACACGTCGATAAAAATTGTGTTGACTAAGGGGCATTTCCATCGAGTACGTCCCTCAGTAGCCAAAATTGTTAGCCGGTTGAAGTACCTCTCGAGGTTCTTCCCCTGACCCGGCAACCTTTGGAATAGTTTTCCGTATTCCGGGTGTAATTTGTGTAATTTGTGGTGTAAAATTATTAATACAGCAGCAAATAATCTCGCTTCTTTTTGGGGATTTGTCCCGTGCTCGACCAAGGGGGAAACATCTAAATTATTTTACTCGTCCGCCCTTGTTATTTGCATCTCTCTTCACGACGAAAGACCGCGAAGGATTGTAGGCATTTGTCTCTTCTTATTCTTATTCTTCTTATTCTTCTTTTTGTTATTATCCCCCATCGACCCGTCAGCTTTGTTACATTCCACCGCCCATTTTTTCAGATCTCAGACTTCTACTTCTGACTTTCAGGAACAGGAACCGGCCCATCAAAACCCGTCAACTCCATTTGCCCCAAACTGTTTCCAGCTGCCTGCACCATGGTTCGATCTCTACATTATTCTCGCTGACTGACGTGACTCTTGTTTACTTTTTCTCTTTTGCTGTTTGTTCCTTTTCTCAACTCAACTCAACGCTTGTCCTCCCATCCACCCGTCCACCTGTCCACTACAGTAGCGCTCAACCCAAACCCCGTTAGTCGCTTGTCGCATCAAACCTGTCAACGTGTTCACCTTGAGACCCAGAGCCTGCGTTGGAAAAAAAAAATAATTAATTAAAGAGAAAAGAAAAAGAAAAGGAAAAAGGAACGTTGGGCTTTTTTTTTTTTTTTTTTTTTTTTTTTTTTTTTTTTTTTTTTTTTGCCTCAAGTTGAACACCCACCCTCTATATCTCACTACATCTCACTCTCCCTATCTCATTGATTTCCATGCTTCAGGTATATCCAGAGCGGCAAGCGGGTGCTTGCTGCTACAGACGACACGGAAAGTAAGCGACAATTTTTTTTTTTTTTTTTTTGGATTAAAAGAAACCCTCCTTCCCCGTCTCCCTTTTTTTTAATAACATACCCGCTCCCAAATTCCCAAATCCCAACTCCCACTCCCTCATTAACATGAATCCTTCAACCACAACCCCTCTCAAAAAAAATCTTAAAAGCAAGGAGAGAGAGGTGGTAAGAAATTCAATAAATCCAATGAACGTGTTCCCCCCAATCTCTCACCCAACTATTAAGACTAACGTCTCCTTGTGTTTCCACCCTTTTTTCAGGCTCACCTCTGCCCGCCGACTCGGCCAATCCGGTGCTCCGTTCAACGTTTGTTAACGGAGAGTGCGAGATATCCACCGTGCAAGACAATCCCATTGCGACAATACCATCTCTGAAGCGTTCAGTGGCTCCAGGGGCAGCAAGCCTCCAGGCTGCTCCCTCGCTCGAACTGCCCTTACCCTCATTACCCAAGTATCACACCGAGTCAGACTCGTTATCGTCGTCTTCCCCAGAGCACAGAAGGCCCGCTAGCAGCGTTTATTATACTACGACTTGGGGCTCACCGTATGCGACTCCCAGTCCCAAACGGTATCCATCATCTTTTAGAAGCCGGCGTCATCGAGAGGAAGAAGAGGGAGAAGGAGTAGAAGACGGAGGAGAAGGGAGAGCAGGAGTTTACAATAGCTGGGAATCCTCCCCTTTATCTACGAGGAGTATAAATCCTAAAGCAAGCAGGGCTAGTAGTCGAGTTTCTCTGAAGCCCTCTGCGCGGTTCTCGAGACGTTTCTACGACTCTACTGGAAAAAGTGCCGGAAGGGGTCGACGGGGGAATCCCACCAAGGATTTCACTGAGGAGTGGATCAATCAGTATCTCTCTGGCCAACTTCGAACAGAACGTACAAACTGGCTGAGTGACGACTCGGCAGATAGCGGCACGGGTTCATTTCTCACCGCCAGGAACCACCTGAGCGAAGACCAGTCTGAAGGCTGGCTTGGGCTGGAAGACGATTCCCAGGACGAAGATCACCTTCGGACTCCAACTTCTCATACCTTTGGAAAAGGCAAATCTAGGGATTTGCATAGGGACGGCAGTCTGCCCTCTCGACCACCCCGCATGTGGTCAAAACATATGCCGAAGAAGAGCACAGATACTTTGAAACAGTCCGACTTTTGGGATTTTGGATACGACCCTGACGCCGTTCATACCACCGCCATTATGTCGGACAAAGACGCGTCCAGGGGCCTGAGCCCGTACACAGGCTCGTCATCAGTTGGTGATTCGAGTCTCCCGATCTCCCCCATTGACAAGCCACTCCCTCCACCTCCCGCGAATGAACAGAATGACGGTGTATCTCAATCACCTTCCGTCAGCCCTCTCCTCCCTTTAAAACAGACACGGATATCAACGCCTGTTTTCCAACGGCCCAAAAAGAGAGTCCAATGGGGCAAGAAGCAATGCATCATCGCAATGCCCCTCGAGGACAATCGGGGCTCCTGTTCTGGTCCCGGTAGCTTCCCCCTTCTCACCCCCGCCGGTGTCGCGGAACGGTTGAAGATGTGGGAAGAGGAAGGATATGATACTCGTGGCTATGAAGAGAATCTTTTTATAGGAGGAGGGGGGGGAGGAAGCGAAGCCGTGAGTGGCTCGCAAAGTCGACCGGCATACCCAGACCCAAACGATTGTCAAAGCGAATGGCGCGAGAATAAATACAACATCAGCTTCCCCGATCAATCCGAATGGGACACTTACGTTAATTTCCTTAAGGAGGAAAAGCTGCGTGCACTGGGCGTATTCCTCGATCCCGAACCGCCTGCTTCTGCCATTTCGCAAGGGTCCGTACAGCTGAACCAGACATCGTCGCATCAGTTCCCTACCCATCTGTTTACCCCACCCATCCCAACCTCGTCTGCGGCCAGTAATCAGTTCGGTCTACCCACGAACCCCCTGTCTGCTCCCTTTAGCCAGCCACCACTGGCCTCCTCGACCCCGGGAGCTTTCGTCTCCCCCGTCGCTTCGCCCTTCCGGGTACCCAGCAGCTCCTCGTTCCCGAATCAGCCTGGTCTAATTGGAATGGACCGTTCGTTTAATCAAGGGTTTCCTTTCTTGCCGTTCCAGCCAACGCCTCCTGCACAAAGTTCGTTCGCCTCGCCGAATTTCTTAGTCGGGAGACCCGGTGGTGGTGTCTCTCCTGTGAATTCTGCGGCGTTGGCGAATTTGAGTATGAATTCTATGTTGGCTCCTGTGTCGCCGTTGAATTCTGATGATGCGAAGCAATTTCCTGGGACAATGAATCTGCTTTCTCAGTTTCAGGGGCTGTTACCTATACAATCACAACAGCAGCAGCAACCACTACAGCAACAACTTCAGCTGCAACTGCAGCTACAACAGGAGGAAGATTCTAGTCAATTTATTCCTCCGTCCTTTGATGCCTCGAACGTCCAAACAGACGCAGACTCGGATACGAGAGAGTCACCATCGGGACCTGAAATCGCCCACCCAACGCCTCGCGGCCATCGTCATAATGTAAGCGAAACACTCCAGAAGGGCGTGGAACAGGCCGAGTATCACCTTGAAGACTCGATCCGCCGTCAGTTGGAGGAAGATGATAGAAACCAGCTTGATGATGATTTGATGAAGTCGCGATGGGCGGTGGCGGATGCGCCGCTGGCTAATGCCTCCAGCAATGCTCAAGGGACAATCCTTCCACAACAACATCTCTTTAGGGAGCACAATGATATAGACCGGGAAGACGAGAAACAGGAGGATGAAGGCCTCCCTCTCGATGGGTCCGATATCGATACAAACCCTAGTCGCTCGGGCTCGTTCCATGGCCAGTTTGGCTGTAAGAATATGTTCGACTCGAGCGCTGCAGCGTTTCACCAGGCACAGCGTAGTGTACGCTCGTTCAAACCGCGACACAAATCGAGGACATCCGTGTCAACGCTAAACGTCGAGGCGAAGGAATTCGATCCATCCAGTTCCTTTGCGTCGAACACTTTCTCATTCACTGGTAATAGCTTCCAGCCACCACCACCTGCGAATTTCCAGGTATCCAACCCCAATTCCACCTTCAGCCCGAGCCTGTCGCAGCACAGCACTACCTCAAGCTCTTTCAATGTGGCTGCACCATCGTTCCCTCCAGGACCTGGCCGGAGTAACAAGGGTTCCATCTCATCAAATTTCAACTTCTCCACCGCGTCATTCAACATCGATGCCCCCGTCTTTAATCCTGGCCGCAGCTTCGCCTTCGATACCACAAATGAAAGAACTCACGTCTCCGGCTCGGATGCTGGTATCCCCGCCCCCGCACCAGCACCAACGTTCCCGGGAGGCAAGATATTCTGCGCCTTCGATACGTCATCCGCCATCGTCAAGCCTGCGAAGCGATCAAAGGCCATCCCGATCATCCGGCCGGATGACAACGTTAGCAAGAAGCCTGCGGCTACGGATGAACGCAGGCATGGCGAGGATGCTGCGGGACGAGTTGGGCCGGTTGGTCGTGAGAAACGCGCTCGCCGTGCTGGTGGTGATGGGGACGGGCAAGTTGAGTTTGCGCTTCCGAGTAACCCGCTTGCAGAGAGTAGGGATATGGCGTCTCTGAATGGTGCGGTGCCGGGCACGAATTCTTGTTCCTCTGCTGGTGGGAAGGAGAATGTGGGACCGGATGAGAGTGTGGAGGTAGCTGCTGAGAAGGAGGCGGATGCTAAGGACGCTGCTGTCCCTGAAGATATTGCAGATACTGCTACTGCGGTTGGGAATATTACCCCCGTCTCAAAAGATACACCAATCAGTCACACTACAGAATGGCGACCTTTTGAATTCGAAAATGGATCCGAGGCAGCCGCTTTCAGTGCTTCATTCCCTGCGGCTCCTGGACTTCATCTCCTGGAAACTGGGACTGACTCCGTGATACATGACCCGGAACAGGTACAGAAACAGGATCAAACGGTCACTCAGGATAATGCTATAGTAACGGCTAATTGTGCCAAGAGCCCCGCTGAGAAAGAACCTTTGGTAACTGCGGATAATGAGGAAGCTCCTGAAAACCCCAAGGCTCCATCTGTGCTCAAACCTACAGCCAAGGCCTTTGAATTCAAGTCTACTATTCCTCCTGTGACTCCCGCTCCAGTCCCATATGATTCTGCAACCCCAGTCCAACCCGTCGCTCCTCTAAAACAGGCCCGACCATCCTCCGTTCCGAAGAAAAGTGTTGGCCTCGAAGGCTCCCGCTATGCCGTGTCCACTCCTCCTTCCTCCCCACCTCCCGCCAAGTGTATCAACAATACCGTTGCTCGATCCCCTGCCGAAACTGAAGATTATATTGCTTTGGAAGAGGAAGAAACCTTACCATTAAGCGAAGCGGGGTCTCATTCAGAAGAAGATGCTGAGCACGATTCGCTCAATGAGCAAGAGATCGATGCTGTCATGCAGCAACTGAATGACGAAAATAACTCAGGTCTCGGCATAGAAAGATTCAACACCCCACAACCGGAAATGGAAGAAACATCTGGGGAATTATTCGGTGGGGGACCGCGTCTTATTCCCAGCTATGCCATCCGCAGCAACGCTCCCAGTCCAAGCCCGCAAGGATCTCGTCCACTCTTTGCCAACGTGCCCAAGATCGACTCTGCGTTTGGTGGGCCCGCGCATCACATTTTATCGCCACAGCGAAGTGCAATTAGCGACAGCAACTCTCCCATATGCCATCTCAATAATCCTGAAATCGAACACGTGAGTGATTGGGACGATGCCATTTCAGTCGGCGAGGACGCCAAATTGCGGCAGCGAAGTCGTTTCTTCGATAGACATGTCAATGACATTGTTGGTGGGATAATTGAAGACCGCCTCGATCCGCTGGAGAGGGCTTTGGGTGTCATACAGCAGTCTATCGATATCATTGCTGCGAACCAAGTGCTGAATCAGAATCATAATCAGAATACGCGCAGAAGTGCATCTGCGGGCGTTGAGCATAGTGATGCCGATGACGAGGATGACGAGGAGGACGATGAAGCTCTCCGATACAGGTCCAGATCTCCATTAAATAGGCGCGTTAGACACGTCAATAGTATCAAGCAAGCTGTCGCTGAAGCTCTGGCTAGCCAGGTTCCTCGAATCGAAGTCCCTGTACCTCCTCCCGCCCCTGTGATTGATCTTACGGAAATTCACGTTGCACTTGCTGAGTTGAAGACACTAGTTGCGCCTAAACCAGTTGAACCAGTTCCAGAGCCACCAATTGATTTGAAGCAAGTTATTATTGATGCCATTTCAGAACACCCGCGACTCAATGCACCTGTTGAATCTGTTTCTCATACGGATAACATTGAGGCGTTGAAGATGCAAGTTGAGGGATTGCAGACAATGTTACGAGTTGCAGATGAGCGGGCTGAAAAGGAGTATCAAATTCGTAGAGACGCTCAAGATTCTGTAGCACAATGCCAAAGGCTTCTCAGGATTGCTGAGGAGGATGCTGCGTATCATCGTGAGTTGGTAATGAAGACAGAAGAGGCCTTCAGGGACCTGAAGGAGCGGACGATCCCCGAAACAGAGCGGATCGAGAGGCAGTCTAGACTTTTGCAAGAGCAGCAAGAGAGTCTGCAACTCACTCTGTCTGAACTGTCCGGGAAGAACATTAGTCTCGAGGAAACTCTTGATGAGTACAGGGTCTCTGCAGATCAATGGCGGTCTCAGGTTGAGAGGGTTAAAAAGGAGAATAAGGATCTTAAACTCACGATTAACCATATGAAGGAACAAATCGAAGACAGCATGGCTGCAAGGCAGGGTCTTCGTAAGAAGTTTGAGAGACTCCAGGATGACATGATCAGCGCGTCTCGGGATATTGCCCGCAACCAGGCTACCTGGCGCAAGACGGAAGAGGATCTAATTGCTAAAAACAACGCTCTTCGAGCAACTTGCGATCGTGAAGTGAAGTTAAGGGAAAAATTGGAAATGGACATCAGCGACCTTCAACAGCATGAGAAGGAGGCTACAAAACTGCGATTCATCTTCGGGCAGTCGCAGCAGGAAAATGCACGACTTGAGGAACTGGTGATGTCCCTCAAACAAGAAAACCACGATTTGCGAAACAAAGCTACACGGTTCGAGCGCGAGTTTAACGATGCGCGGGAAAGTAGCCATATTGAAATCAAGATGGCTAGGAAGGTTATGGAGGCGGATATTGATGCTGCTAATAATCAGGTCAACTACATCCGTGCTGGGCTAGAATCGCAAATCAGCAATCTTCAGAACCAGCTGGATAATGTCAGATTGGATGCGGATACGGCCAAGGCAAGACACGAGTTGCAGCTTGAAGAGGCCACTGATGCAAAGAAACTTGCACTCGCAGAAGCTGCTGAGTCAAAAGAGAGTGCTCTCCAGCAGCAGCGTCTATTACAAGAACGTGGGCTCAATGATCTCCGCGAACGACATGCCCGCGCCTTGCACAATTCTTCTGACGATAGACAGCGCAGTGAAGCGCGTCTAATGGAACTGCTCTTGCTGCGAGATGAAAAGATTTCGAATATGGAAAGTAAGCTCTCCCATGTCGAAGAGAAGCTTGAGATTGCGAAATCGGCAGCGCAGGCAGCAGCACAAGCGGCACAGAAATCTAATCCAGCTCCGATCCTATCGCCTATTCAACCAACTTCGCCATCCATGACGTACCGCAGAGGGTCTGAGATCCCTGAGAAGATCTCGCCACAGGCGTTTCGAGAGTCAATCATAGTTTTGCAGGATCAATTGCAGCAGCGTGAAGGACGCATCGAGGAGTTAGAACAGGAACTGGCAGAAATCGATAAAGATGCACCTGCAAAAGTGAAAGAGCGCGAGACAGAAATCAACTGGCTCCGCGAGCTCCTTGGAGTACGTCTGGATGATCTGCAAGACATCATCGATACACTCTCCCAACCAACTTTCAACCAGCAAGCCGTCCGCGACGCCGCCATCCGCCTCAAGGCAAACGTACAGATGGAACAGCAAGAAAAGGAGCGGGCTACATCCGGCGGCCGCCAGCAGTTTCCGTCATTATCTACCCTCTCCACCCTCGCCGCCTCCCACCGCTCCTTACCCTTAGCCGCCGCAGCAGCCTGGGGCAACTGGCGCAAAGCGCGAGAAAACTCCGCCATATCCAATACATCCACAACCGCCAACGACCACCATACCCCTTCCAAGGGCTCCAACAACCCATCCAGCTTCCTTTCCGGTCTCCTAACCCCACCCAGCTCAAACATCCGCCAATCTCCCGCAACGTACAGCGCCCCTCCTGTCCCCATGCCAATGGGCGCTAGCAGCCGACGCACCTACTCCGAAAGCAGATCCCTACGGTCTTATAATCATCCCAGCAGCGGTATTGGTCCACGCAGACTCTCCACGCGCCAAAGGGAGAAAATACCGCAAGACCTAGGACCACCCTCGACGCCGCCGCTACTTCACCAGTCCAGCTACGACCGTGATGCTGAGACGACTAGTTATGGGGAAGCTGCGTATGGCTATGACTATGGCGATGATAGCGATAGCATACTTGGCGAGGTAATTTCGGCGCAAGAGTCTGGGTCTGCGGGTGTGGACGGGCCGTTTGGGCCTTCGATATGACAATGAAGATGGATTGAGTTGGTATTTGAAATATCCTAAACTTTAATTCCCTTTTTCCTAGGGCTATATAATATATTTCTTCCAAGAACAGAGTGCAGCTTTTGGATCTATTTTTTTTTTTTTTTTTACATTTTTTTTGGGTTTTAATTGTTCAATTTTTGCATAGCGATTTTGATTTTCTAATTACACGATTTCATTCATTCGTGCTCATTGGGAATATAACCTTGACTTTTGCTTTCCAATTATCTTGTCTATATTTGACATTAATATTACCCCCCATTTTCTTTAAGAGTTTTTTTTTATTCTTAATCCATTTTCACCTATTTTAATCATGGCCTGCAACGCTCGCCAATACACTCACTCGTCCACAATTTCCTTTGTCACTTTTCTTTTCCCCCTCTTCCTTTTTGGGCAAATCATGTTGAATTCTTTGCATATAATATATATACCACCACATACCCCGTTACCCATCCTGCCCAGTTCGGGTTCGGATTTGGTTCGTCATCGTCGTCGACCATATTTTAGATTTTTATGTCCCCCCCACTTTTTAGGTATCTATTTCATGCTTTCCTTTGATACCACCTCATTTTTACATTTATTTGATTTTTATCTCCTCTCAAAACCAGATTGTCATGTTTACTCTTTCTCCTTAGTGGTCCCTGCAAATAAGACCGTATAAATTCATAAGCCTTTCATTCTCCACTTCCGCCAGATTTATAGAACTTTCAACTGTTGGTCACAAACAAGTGTTTTAATTAATTCCATGTGCTAACAAAAGTATTTAGAGCAGTTCTTTGAGCTATCACGCGTCCTAGATGGCGTTGCATTCATCTGGTTGCAGGAGCCGCTCCAGATCTAGAGCTATTAGGCGTCTATAAAAGCAGCTTCAGAAGAAGGTTGCTTCCCAGCCATGATTCTGTAGGACTGGCATTTGCTGTAATTTTTTGGTGTTTGATATACCCATGGAGTGCGTGCTGGGAAAATAGATACACAGACTGAAAAGGCTATACTTTTATCAGCATGCCTTTATCCTAGCTAAATTTTATGCCGTTCCTTCAACCTGCCACTTCTTGTTGATCTGAGCATCCAAATCACTACCATTTAAGGGTTCAAGCAGAAATTGCATGTAGCTAATTTTCATGAGCATGATAATGTAGACTCATCATCTTCTCGCTCTGCTCATTATATATACATTGCATTGTGACCAACACTAGTTTCAAGCTAGCCATAATTTATTGTGCGCGGAGGTGGAAACCAGTGGCTTGTCTGCTCAAGTCCATCCTCCACGATTATCCGATTTTGCATGGCCAATATCCATGTTTACATGTCGTGCATACATGTGTACTTCCCCACCACAAAATCACTATACATCTGCCCATGCTCCTCCTATCATTCACTTCCGAAAACTGCTGCGAAATCCACAACACGAAGCCACACCAACCATTATCCACCCGTCCATGAGCGAATCACATATGGTTTTGCACCAGACCAGCCCACAGCGGATACAGCGGATACCACTAGTTAAGTTTCAAATTGATCTGATGTATGCTGTTCGCATTGTCGTAGCGCATGGGCATGGGAACTCGTGATTTTCAGTCCATTCTGGTATCACAATAGATGAGTGGATTGCTGTTATTTTGCTATCTCCTATTCTTTTGAACGGCAAGTGGCAGGTCGTGGTTGGAGTTTGTGGATTGATTTTAACCGGTAACTAATTTGCGAAGTAACTGTCACCAGTTCATGATTCCGGTGGTGGTAAGTTGATCATTGCTGTAGGTGTTTTCTATTGAAGGTCTCCCCTGGCTCAACACCAACTTTTTCCCCGATCTTGGTTCTAGTTCTTCCATGTGATCTGCAGAGAGATCTTTGGCCCGACTGCATTTTATCAAAGCGATTCTTATGACTTGCTACAGGTTATGACCCTTGTTACTTTATAAACCTTTCAAATAAGACTTTTGAAGAAATCTAATTAAAAGCTAATTTTGAAAATTAATTTGAAATTGAAATAAATATCTTAAAAGATTTATTAAAGTTTAATAATTTTAATAACTTTTTGAATATATTAAATAATATATATATTTTTTTCAAAAATTATATGAATTTATAATAAATAATTATACAAATATAATATTAAAAGTTAAAAATTTAAGTTTTATATTATTTTTTTATATTAATTGTCCATTTTTTTCATATTATATATCAACCATATTTCCATCTCTTTGTTTAGCATCATATTGATTAAAGTGCCCTGATGTGAGGTGATGAGCTTGATTCAGCGGTGAATAGCTATTGAGCTATTCTGAAGGAAACTGTCAGGCGGCACGGATTAACCATTGCCCCGGTGGTCGCTCCAATTATACAGCCTTTCATTCAACCCAGGAGATTTATCAAATCTCCCAGAAAGTTGACGGCAAGCATGAAGCTATTACCAAGGCTTTAGTTGAAACGGTCATCCAACAGTATGCTCTCGCGAGCATTTACCCTTTTCAACGGCAAAACCATAATCAAGATAGAGTTGATTGAATCATGCTTTGGCGGACAGAGTTAAGGGATGTTGTCTTTTTGCCACGCATTTACGGAGTAATTAAGCTTAGGAAAATAATAGCCAAGGTTTAGCGGCTTTTGTGTACTCTTCAGAGGCCCGGCATTCCCGGGAGCGGGTGATGATTGATACGGGTGAAGGAGATAGGATAGGGTGATGCGGTGGGGTGAAGTGGTGGGGTGAAGTGGTGGGGTGAAGCGGCGGAGGTGGAAGAAATCATTGGTAAGCTTGGTGTGATGCTGAGGAGCGGAAAAACATGGGGTAGAAGGGCGTAAAAAGAAGATACTATTTAGGGTGGGAGGGGTGGTGTTCAGGTCTGTATGAAATAGGAGAAGTTAATAATGATATCTCCAGGACTTCTACGAGCTTGACTACCCAAGTATGCAGCTACCGTCTGAGATTCCCGTATCAGGGAATAGTGCACTGCATGTCTATGCAAACATTGTGCGATGAAGCATTATTCTATTTCAATCCTGCCCTCCTTGGAAAATACCTAGCTGGTTTTGGTGGATTCTGCGGAATCTCTGTTCACTTCTTTTACCCCTTATCCTTGTCTCTTATAGGCTTTTAAAGTGGTCTGCATGTTGTAGAAGATCCAACATAGCATGGATTAAATCGAGGACCGTTTCCTCTGAAATGAAGAAAAAAAAAAGTAAATCCACAAGAAAAAGGAATCTTTAGAATGCATCATTGGATATCACTTCTCCCCATCCTCCATAGTCTGAATATCATATAAGTTCAGTAGGTGGTCTATATCTATCAAGAGAATATATAGTATAACAAATCGCTATCGCCATAAAGAAAATAAATTGATAAACAAAAGAACAGAAGATACCCATATGAAACATGGAGGAGCCAGTGGAGACGGGAGAACAAAATATCTCATCGCGAAGCAACCTCCTGCAAAAAAGCGAGATATCCTGTCCAACAGAGCACCCGCCAGCACCTCCCTTCCAACTCATGCCCCTTAAAGCAAAATAAATCTCTCCCTGACAAAAATATCCCTCAAAATCTCAACCCCAGCCCTCGCTGGACCCCTCCTCCCCCCCAATCGAGCCGGAAACTCCACAACAGCCTTCCTCAACAAGGCAAGGCCTACATCCCCCCAAAACCCCACAACCCTCACCGCAGAATACCTCAGCAACGCACCCAGCACAAGCAAATGCGTATCCTGCACCTCACTAGCAGGAACATTAAGAATATTCGCGCACACGCGCCAAAAGCACGTATTGGGCACCGGATTTTTTCTTGTTGTCTTTGAGAAGTTGCGAAGCGATATCGCTGCAAAGCCAGCGCCAAGGCCAATCATGCGCTCCTCGTGTGTTTGCGGGGCCACAAATTTCCCTGCACCACCTCCGGTGCCATTACCACTAGGCTCCTCGCGCCACCAGCCGACAGCCACCTTGCCCGCGTCCGTGGCCTCGTTGCCGTAAAATCCCCACAGCACGGGGCAGACAGCATGGTACTTGGCGAGCAGGATGTCGATCATTGAGATGCCCTTGAAGGAGAAAGGGTCCATGGAGAAGATTTGGGCCGTCAGAACGCCTAGGGGCTCTGCATATTTAGGCGTTATGCCAGCTTCAGCGATGAGTTGGGCGACTATGGCTTTTGAGAAGATGTTTAGGAGGTAGATTAGGAGGGCGGGGAGTTTGGTTTCAGATTCGGGGAGGGTTGGTAGGTTGGTGGGTGGGAAGGCGAGGAATTGGTGGGCGTCGACCGGAGGGGAGGGGATGGTTAGGGACATTTTGAGGATGGTTGATATTTCGTTGGTCTGGGTTGGTTAGTAAAGAAATGGTCTTGCAGGTGGAAACGGAAATGGGCTGTGAAAGCATACAGGGGTGCGGTTTGCAATTTTATCATCAGTAACAAGCTGGCCAACGCATTTCTTTATAGTGCGGCGCATGTCGCCCATATGCTGTTTCAGGACCGGATTCGTCTTTGTCTCAGCAATCATGTACTTTCTAAACTTCTTGAGATGCTGATGGAGCTCGAGATATCGTTGATGCTCCGCGATTTGCTGTGGGGTACGACGCGAAGCTCCCAGGACCTTGACGGTCGTCTCAGTTTGCCCTGACTGTTGCAGTTTATCCTTGTCCTTCTTATCCTCCACCGCTCGGAGCTTAGCAGCACTTCCCTGCTCCTTCCTCCGACGCTCTTCCTCTGCCTCCTTTTTCTTTTGCTCGTGCACAACTTTATCCCGCAATGCATTCTCTTCCTCCTGCGCCTTCTTCGCCTTTTCTGCCTCCTCAAACTTCTTTCTCCTCTCCTCCTCCTGCGCTCTCTTCACAGCCTCCAACCTCGCAGCCTCTTCCCGCTCTCGCCTTTCCTTCTCCACACTCTCCCTCCACAGCTTCTCCACCTCCTCCTTCCTCTTCTGCTCCTCCTCCAAATGAAGTTGCAAAATCTCCTCAGCCTCCAGTCTCAGCGCATCACGCTTGGCAGCGGCAGCAGTCAGTGCGGCATTGTGTACCTCTTCCTTCTCTTTATCGAGACGCTCTAGCTTTTCATAGAAGGATTTCCGTTCGTACGCTCGAACCTTTTTGAGTTCATTGTTGTGCAGACGAACTTGCTCGAGGTCCTTGGCTAGCTCTAGGATGAGCTGCCGCGAAGGACTATCTGGTTGGCGGGGAGAGAGGAGTTGTGGTCGACCCATGGCGCTGGGGGTTGGGATTTTTAAATAGAGCCGGTGTTAATATTATGAATCCTGGCAAATTTGGATGGTTCTGGCTGGTGGGTAGAAATGGAATGGCGTTGCTGAGGTTCGTAGAAGCTGGAAGTGGTGTATTGCAAATGAAAAGACCGTGGAGAACATACTATGTGTGGTTGAGGAGTTGGTCTCAATGGATAAATTTTGTTCGTTGGAGAACGAACAATGAGCTATGCTGTGTGTTATATCTCTGACATTTGACAGCCCGGCTACTTCCCCACCTTTGGTTAATGGAGATGAGAAGCTATCATCAGTGACTGCCGTCATGCACTGTACAATTCACTATCAAGTGACGCTGCCTGTTTGGCTGCGGGTTTGGTGAATGATCTCAAATCTGACAACTAGATTCACCAGACATTCCAGCTGAAGTAATTGGTTGGTACCACAAGATGTATCAACGAACAACAACCGACCGCGTTCACGCGAGATCGCGTCCCAAACCAGCAATCGAGAGCAATATACGGAGAAATAGGAGTCTAGTGAGAGCGGTACCAAAGCAATTAGAAAGTTTTTGGGGCACGGAACGACGGGAGTGCGTCTTTTGAATTGTGTTTTCTTATTTAATTTGAGGAATAGCAGAGAACCCTGGTAAGGAGAGGGGACCTTTGAAATGTATGAATAGTTTACCCTGCAACCAGTTATTCTGCAAAATAATGTTGATGCTATAACCAGCTAATAGTTAATTCATGTTGAATCTCAATCATTGCTGACTAAATCAATACCTTGGACAGATACGCTCAGGTGCACTAACATCAGCCAATAAGAGCAGAGTTTCGGATATTTTCAATCTGAATCTCAGATTTGTTTATTGATAAAAACACTATTTCAAATAGATACAGTACATATTAATTTATGTCTTTAATCTCATACTTTAATTATAAAGCTTAATATTTTAATCAATATTTATATATAAATTAATTAAAAATTATCATAAAATATTTTTTTAAATAAAAAATATATTTAAGGATAATAATAATCATGATAAAGTAAATATAAATTATTTTACAATATAATAAAATAAATAAAAGTACGAAATATAATTTTTATATTAAAAAACTCAATTTTTAAAATTAGTTATATTTAATCTGTATTAATAAAAATTTAAAAGCGTTTTTTAATCATTTCATCCTCAGTAATTAAATATTATAATGATGAATATTAATCCAAAGATGATTTGATTGATTAATTAAAATAAATAAAATAAATTTACATTGGAATTGAGATGCATCAACAATGAGTGGTTGGTGAATAAATGAAGGCATGATTACCCATCAATGATGTATGTAACTAGTAACCTGCCCAATGGCAAAAGATCTGGGTTGTGAGAAGCGGCATTTAGTTCGAAAGGAAGAAGAACTACACAGAAAAGGAGTAAAAGTTCTGGAAAAATAGTCCGCGAACCCGGTGGTCTGGGTCCAAGATGCCAAGCAAGGGGACTTGCATCAACATGATCTGAAATAGGGTCATCGAAACTGGAGTTAGTGCATGGGTTTTAAGGCGGGGAATGAATGAGACAGGCTATTGGATCCTTAGTTGGCAAGGGATAAAAGTAGAGGAATTGGCGAGTTGAAGATGAAGCTGTGAGAGAGACAAATGAGCTATATGTTATTGTCACCCAACTATGTGAGAGAATTAGAATGAGAGGGAACAAGTCATCCGTATAGCGCTGCCTAAGGTATGTATGGATTGGATTAGCAGATTGGGATTCGAAAATTTTTGAGTTTGTTGAACGGGGTTCTGTGGGAGAAAGAAGCTTTTGGCCGTCCTGTGGTTTGGGCGGATGCTGAGCAAAGAGACAAGAGGAGTGACATTACATCATAGTTAGCTCAACACTCCAAGGTCAAAGCTGAATGAGGCGGAACTGCTGGGAACGGTTGGCGGTGGTGATGGTGATTATGTCGCTAACAGATGGCGGAAGGGAACTCTGGAGAGGGGGAAGTCTATCTTGAATAATAACGTCCAGACTTTCATTTTAAAAAGCTACAGCTCTTCAACTGCTTAGAGCTCTCAACTGTTTTCTTTTTTTCCTTTTCTTCATCCTGTTCCATTTTC